TCCACATGTTTTGACAGCCAATTCAAAATATAAAGTTATTTTGAATTTTCTGACCAATTAAAATTGGACACAAATTTCCTTAAACATTGAAGACATCAAAAGAACTGGTTTTCGAACAAAGCTTGCAGTTTGTAAGGGTTAGTAGTTTGAATACGTCTGTCATCCATTACGAAACTACACTCCGTCTTCGGTGGGAGGTAAGAAAAAAAAAACATTGATGCTCCTCATCGGCTGTCAAACTAATTGCTTCTTTGTGACATATAAGACTATGATGAAAAAATAACTGCATTGATGCTAAAAACCATCATGTAATTTCTTTACCGAATTTGTAAACAGGGGATTAAGCTTCGAAATTGATATAAGAGAATTAACAAGCTCTATAATCTAATATGGTACATGGTCACGAAATTCAGGGAATAAATCATGAAATTGAAAATAACCATAAATAATAGTTTTAAAGAATGGATTTTAACCGCAGCTAAACAAATTAAATGAGAAATTACACAAAAGAAAGTCTGAATGCTTAGTTGAACGAGCCAATCACCGTGATCTAATTTATCATAAAGTTTGGCTGCTTGATTCATCGGTTTTGCTCTGTATTTCCCGAGATCTAAAATTTAACTCTCCTTCTAAGGCTGTATTCTTTTCTTTAAAAACGTGTTGAGAGAATTTGGTGATTCATCAACGCCGCGACTACACTTAAAGTTAGTCCATTCGCTAACATGTTTAACAGTCGTAACAGTCGATCAACGGTTTTTAAATAGAGGATACGAGTGAACAGCCTCGTGGAATCCTGATTTTATATATTGTGAGTTTGTACTAAAAGAGTACGATACGGCAATACATTGGCTCTAACTGTAGACCAAGAAAGGCAAGGCGAAAGAACCGTAAAAGTTAGAATTCAAAATCCAAAACGTCATTCGTTATTTATTCTTGTTTGTGGTTAGAACAACGAGGCGTTCATAACTAAGTTTGTTTTTCAACAAAGGGTTGTCTTTTCATCTTGGTTGTTTTGGCGGAGAAATTACCACCATTAGCGAGTGCTTCTTGTCTATATGCAAGTTTTATTTCTAAAAGATAAACAAAGTGCGAAGAAAGACTTTCTTGATATGATAAAACCACCTGCTAACCTGATTTATACTGTGAGCGATATAGTATAAAAAGGAGACATTTTCGCTACGCGCTCGTTCGATTCTGAAATCACGAGTATTATTTCAGGCAAAAGCGCATTCCCTCCACTTAGTTCAATCACCATTATAAACTAGACCCTGTAGGTTACTGACATTTTTCTGTCATAGAGTGTTTATGTGATTCTTTTATTCTCTAGTTTTGATCCTTCACCAACCATGAGAGGAAGATTTTTAATGTTTACTTTCTTGGTGGTTGCCTTCTACCTTTCAGGTAATAACTCTCATATTTCAAAGTCTACCTTACTTTAACAGCCCTTTTATCGTTTATTCTAGCCGATTTAAGTCGCAACCATTAACACACGACTTCCACTTGCTTAAAAATTCTAGAAGAGCGACAATTTTTTGAAGCTAGTGATATGCCTATGAGTATGAAAACGACCATACAGTTTTTCCAACAAAAATACTTTTACATTACTCGTAGGTCGTACGCTTTATAATTTTATTAGTTTTGGAAGTAAGAACTTCTTGTATATGGCCGGTTCCCCGATATGTTTTTTAAACCTTTCATCTTCAATGCTGCTGCAACTAGAAGTTCTCTGTACTCTTACATAACATTTTCTTAGTCATTGCAAGACCTCACATTTTTTGTTAGCGCTGAAACCGTTGTCTTTCTTGCCCTTATATTAGGGGATTGTCAGTAACAACTTGAGTATCAGCTTGTTCAAAATTATTTCCTTTTTCAGTGGCGTCATCTCAAGGCCGCTATGACTATTCGTGCAGCACCTATCAAGAAGGTCAAGCAGTCGACGGTCCGTGTGGGCAGCGGTGCATTTGTGTGAACGAGAGGCTGCGATACTGTTGTCGACAAAGAAAAGATTTCCCCTCAATGACTCGAGAAGAAAGAATTCGCTATGTAAACACAGTCATCAAAGCCTCCACTCATAGAAGATACAGAAGACAATACAACCGAATTATCGCCATGCATGCGAGACTGTTTGATTCCGGAATTCACTCTAAACAGCAGTTTTTACCATGGCACCGTTGGTAGGTCATATGACTTTCTTTCCCTTAAATTTTTTCCCGCACATATTATCTAGGCAATAAGGTCATTCTCTGAGGTCAAGTAACCAATTCTAGAGTAAAGAGAACCAGAGTCTGATGAGTATCCCAATATGTGTATTTTTTATTTTATTTTATTTTATCTTAACTTATTCGCTGAATAATTGATTTACCGTTGGATGGGGTAATCCGCCTTATGAACAACTGGGCCCTGGGTGAAAGGTAGACTCTGACAGGCAGGTGTCTTGCTTAAAAGGTCACGCTAATCCAGCATTC